TAGTATATATATATATATATATATATATATATATATATATATATATTATACATATATTACATATATTAACATAATAATAATTAATTTAATTGATATTATATTATATCAAAATATATAAATATTTTTTTCGACATTTCTGTAATTTTATTTAAAGTTTAATGTATTATTCATCGGTAAAAAGAGATATATTAAAAAATATGCTAAATAAAGATAAATTAAGTACAACGTGAAACAATATTTTTCAATGACAAAAGAATTTATCATAAAAATTATCATAGTTCAATGTAGTTTTAAAAATATATATAAATATATACTATTTTATTCAAATATATTTTTAAATAATATTTTAAAAAAAAGAAAAATATTTCTATCCAGAAATGATACGCATTACGCATTAATTCTTCCGTTATAAGAAGTTATAGAAATTTTATAATGTTTTCGAAATAAAGTGAGAATTTTATTGTATGTTATTACAACTGGTTTCGAGACATTTTCAAAACATACTTTTCGTATTAAATTATTTATATGCATATTTTAATCTTTTTCTTTTAAATTGCCATCTCATCTGTATTTTCTCAAACTTTACTTGCTTTTCAATATTTTAAGAATATTTTCACAGAAATGAATGTTTAATGAATAATGTCTTTGAATGAAAAAAAAAAAAAATAATAATAATAACGAATCAATACGAATCAATATATATAGCAGTATATACATGTATGTGTATACATGCATAGAAATTATAGATCATTAGATTCATTAGAATTATCAGATAATTTGTATACGTGGATAATATATTTATTAGAATTGGAAAAACAAAAACAGTTGTTAAGAGAGGAAGATCAATATCGATTTTCGTATTTTATTAATTTATTTAATTGCAGATATTAAACATCTATAATATATAATTCCTTCGTTAATTATATTAATTATATATTAATTATCAATTTTTCTTCGTTATATATCAGAAGCTATATATAAAAATAAATCGTTTTTAATACAATCCTTTATACTCGTATACCCCAATCCTGTTTAATCAAATCCGCTCCCTTCTCAGCGATCATCATGGTAGGCGCATGGATATTCGCGCTAGTGATGTTCGGCATGATCGACGAATCGATCACACGTAAATTCGTCACGCCATGCACCCTCAACCTGGCGTCCACAACCGTTCTCGAATCATTGGCTGGCCCCATTCTGTTCGTGCAACACGCGTGATAATTCGTGCCAGTGGCGTGTCTAATGTTACACTCGTAATATTCCTCGGTGTCGGGTGTTATATGGCGACATTGGGGGATATCGTAAGTGTGGAACTTGGCCTTATACCTCTGAAAGATCGTCGTGTTCAACAAACTCCTCAACGTCGGCAGAGCTTTCGTCAATCTCTTCCAATCGTCGGCCACGGTGAGGTAATTCGAGTAAATCTTCACCCGCTCGGCCGGGTCGGCGTTACGCAATTTGATCTCGCCCCGGCTCTCAGGTCTCATCAACGAGGCGTAAACGGTGATCAAGCTTTTCTTCATCACCTCGTCAATCATTATTCGTAAAATTTCGTCGTTCACGTCGTAAGAATGCAACAGACTCTTTAACCCGTTCGTGTCGTAGCGTTGAACTTGGGAGAACAATAATTGCACTTCCTGATACGGGGACGTAGGATCGATAGGATTGATGAACGCGATCAGGTCGTTGGCGAGGGTGGTTAACGGGCCTGTATCGAATTCCAAGTAGTCGTAAGCGTTGTTCAATTGGTCTCTCTCGGTGGGGGCGGACGTCACCGACTCGTTCACGAACGAGTAATACATGCCAAACCATATCACGTGGTCCTGAAGATTCTTTCCAACGGGCAGGTCGACCAGAACGGGTATTCCCAGTTCCTCCAAGTGCTCCTTGGGCCCGATCCCCGAGAGTATCAGTAGCTGTGGACTGACCATAGTTCCGGTCGAGAGGATCACCTCCTTCGTCGCTCTCACTTCCACCGTCTCGTTGTTGCTCAAAGTGACTCGGACGCCGACAGCTCGCTCGCCCTCGAACAGAATCTTGTCCGCCCTGCTCGACGTTATCACGTACAAGTTCTTTCTGTTTCTGACGGGGGTAAGGAAAGCTTTCGAGCAACTTTGGCGTCTTCCTTCGTCCAGGGTGCCCAACACTCTTCCGAATCCTAGGTAACGGGGACCGTTCACAGCTTTGAGAATGGGATGGCCAGCTTCCCGGGCCGCTTCCAGAACGACATCCTCGAAGTCCGTCACGGTGTAATTGTAGTATCTGACTCGGAGGGGGCCGTCCGTTCCGCAATAATGGTCGCCGTTTTCGGCTATGTACTCGGGCGAACAGCTTATGGACTTTCTGAAGTAGGGGAGCACTTGCTCGAAGTCCCATCCAGGATTTCCCTGACTCGCCCAACCGTCGAAGTCCCTTCGATTCCCGAAGATGTGTATCATCCCGTTGATCACCGAGCTTCCCCCGAGAGCCTTGCCCCGAGACCATTTACATCGTTTGTCTTTGACACTCAGACAGATGCCTTCTTGGGGCTCGATCTTTCAATTAAAAGTAATAGAAAAATAGAAAGTGATGAGGAAAATAATGTATCGGTTGTGAATACGTTACATCGTTTATAATTTCATTCACAGAGACATTTTATTATATCGCATTGAATAAAATGAAGAGTGAATGAAATTCGATATAATTAGGTTAAAACAAGTAACGTGAAAAATAATCGTATCAATAAATAATAATTTGTATATAATCTGAATAAATGATGTTTCTGAATAAAGGAGTTTTTTTTAATTTGAAAATTCGTAAACTTGTATAAATAGATAGAACGTAATATTATTTTAATTCATAATTTTTCAAAAATAAAATTTCAATCGAGTAATATTTCTTTCTTTAATTTTTCATTTTTCGCTTAAAAACTTATGAATTATTTATTCCTTCTGCATAGATGTGGATGATGGATATTTTTTTTCAAATAAATAACGAGACGAAAAATTTATTGCAATTTTTCAAGCAACTTGGACCCTCTCTTTAAAGATAATCGTTCGAATTATTTAATTCTACATACCGCGTAATAATAATCTTGCGGTCCACCCAAGTTATTGTTGAAAAGGCCAGGTGGTACGGTTTCAGGAAAAGGATCCACTCCTCTTTCGATTAACAGAACATTCCAATTCTCCACTTCCGTTAATCTGCGAGCCAAAATAGAACCCGCGGTTCCACCGCCAACGATCACAAAATCGAATTTTATTCCTGAATTTAAAATGTCATATCCCTCAGGTCCGGGATATTCGTTCGTATTGCTCAATTCGCAACGAGATGCGATCAACGTTTGTATCAGCATAGTGAAAACAGAAGCTGGCGAAGATTGCAACGCCGACGAGCAAGTCCCTCTCATACACGATTCCATGTTTTCGTGTATTCAAGTAGAATAATCTAGATTATTTAGAGAAATTTGAATGGAAAATTGGAAATAACAATAACGAGAAGAATAGATGAAAAAATTTAAATCTAAATAATTTTATATATATGAAAATGTCTAGCATATGGTATCCTGCCGCAAAATAACTTTCTTTAATTTAATTTAATTTTTTAATTTAAAATTTTATGTGTTCTTTTGTTATTATTACAAATATTATTGAAATTTTGTCAATATTTTGGCAACAAATTCCAAGTCTACGTTGGTTCAAAATATTACCAATTAAAATAAGATTGTTTCAAGAATAATTATATTAGTCACCTTGTAATATTTCGGACAAGTGATTTCTCCGTGTACTATTTTCTTCAATATTCAAATAACGTTTAACGAATGTAACATGATAAAACTTTATATATACATATATATCTACATAAACTTCTCCCTCTTTTTGTTTTTTTTTGTAGAATACAACGAAATTATCTTTTAGGTTGCAGATAAGTAAGTATATATGTAAATGGTTTGTTTAAGAATTAGAAGAAACTTTGTTCTTTTTTATACTTTATATTTTAATTTTATTTCACAGTGATAAAATATTTTACAATATTTTATATTGTTCCTCTTGTTCAAATTGGATTTTGAAATACAAATTGCCATCTCAAGAATATTAATCTGGATGATTGCATTTTTATATTCTACATATTAAAGTACAAATATTGAATTTGTGCCTCTGGCATAAAGAAGACCATAAAGAGATTCTTCGAAGAAATATTTTAATTTTGAGGGATTATAGTATTTATTGAGAGGAGCGAAAGTATTAATATTTCATCAAAAATAAATAATATAATTAACTTTCATCCTTAACGTTCTTAATTCTATTAATAGTAATAATAATAATTTCGAGATAAGCAATCAATTGTTTCTTTCTTTCAATGAAAATTTCTGATAGAATTATAAATATAATAATGGAGTTATAATAATAGAGTTGAAGATCTCTATTTTTTAAAATAAAATAAAAATTTTAAAGAAAACGTTAATAAATTCTTTAAATTTTTTTAAAGGAATCTTTATTGAGTTTAAAGACTTATATTTTTTTAATGTAATAAAAAAAAATTTCATTATATAAAATATGATATGATAAATCTTATCAAAATTAATATCGAAAATTTCTTGGAAATGGTTATATAAAGAGTTGTCCTTGAATATTAATGCAACAATTTCTTTATCAAAATTATTATACTAATGAATATTTAAAACAGAATAATTGTTGTTTTTTTTTTGTTTACATAAGAGAATGAAAAATATTTAATGACATTTCGTCTTTTTACTATTTTAATTTTCTCATTTACATAAAAAACAGATTATTGCAGTTATATAATTAATAGATTTATAATTATGCTTTTCATATGAAAATTCAATAATTTCTATTAAAATTATTATGTATTATAACGTAATATAATAATAATAATTGAATTTTTTTGATATTGACGTTGATATAACAATTCATCGCAAAAACAGTTTAATTTTCTTTGTGATAATATTATTCTGTTCAAAAAGTTTCCACAAATCAAATACAATCTTTACAATTTATTTATTCATTTTTATTTTATTTCATCCCATTCAAAATAATCCTCATTTCTTACAATATATTTTTATCAAAGTTTCTCCCGGAGAATTTCATTTTATTCCTTTAATGGATTCAAATCACTCATCTCCATACTAATTAATCGTAAAAACTGGAAAACGATCATCCCTGCTCGAATGCTTACGGAACAAGACTGGAATTTCTTGTAAAAAGTTGCAAAAAGACAAGCTTTGAGATGTGTATTATCATAAAACCCAAATGCAATTAAAAATTGCCATTCGTTCGAATCTCGATTCACAATATTCAACAATATTTCACAAAATTCAACAATAATTCAACAATAAATTTACACATCGTTGCACGGATCGTATATACATATATATATATATATATATACAAATAATAACAGAATCGTTTACACATGTACCTCTACGACATCTCAATTTTTCGTCTTTATGCCCCAATCCTGTTTAACCATATCCGCTCCCTTCTCAGCGATCATCATAGTCGGCGCGTTCGTATTCCCGCTCGTCACTTCCGGCATGATCGACGCATCGATCACTCGCAAATTTTTGACACCGTGCACTTTCAATCTCGAATCCACAACGGCTCTGGAATCGTTAGCCGGTCCCATCATCGCCGTTCCACACGGGTGATACAACGTGCTAGACAAATGTTTAAGGCTACATTCCCAATATTCATCGGTATCCGGCTTCGTGTCTCGACATCCGGGAATGTTAGGATGATACAATTTCATGTTGTACTTCTTCAGAGTCTCGGTGTTTAAGAGAGCCTTAATAATATCCGCGGATTTCAACAACGTTTTGAAATCTTCCTTCTCGGCGAAGTAATTCGGATAAATCTTAATAGGATCGGCCGGATCGATGCTATATAACTCGAGTAGACCTCGGCTCAAAGGTTTCAATAATGTAGGTATAGCAAATATTATTTTCATTTCCTTGTTATCCTCTTCTATATCGCGTATCAGATTAGGGTCCACGTGGAAGGAATGTAAAAACAATGATAACTCTGTCGAAAATTGTATTGGTACGATTATAAATTGAACGTTCGGATACTTGGAACGAGGATCGTCTACGTTCACGAAACCGTTGAGTTCGATTGGAAGGCTGTTTAACGGGCCAGTATTGTATTTCAAATATTCGTAAGCAGCGTCCAAATTCTTGTTAGAAGGAGGTGTCATCGATTCATTCGTATAGGTTAAGTAAAGCGCTAACCACGACACGTGATCTTGAAGATTCTTTCCAACGGGCAGATCGATCAGAAGGGGTATTCCCAGTTCCTCCAAGTGCTCCTTGGGCCCGATCCCCGAGAGCATCAGTATCTGCGGACTGGCGATACTTCCCGCCGACAGGATCACTTCCTTCGTCGCTCTCACTTCCATCGACTCGTTGTTGCTCAAAGTGACTCGAACGCCGACAGCTCGTTCGCCCTCGAACAGAATCTTGTCCACCCTGCTCGATGTCATTACGTACAGATTCTCTCTGTCTTTGACCGGGGAGAGGAATGCTTTTGCACAATTTTGCCGTTGCCCATTGTCGAGGGTGCCCATCGCTCTTCCAAATCCGATGAAACGATCACCGTTCAATGGCTCGAGAATGTCGTATCCCGCCTCGTGCGTGGCTCTCAAGATTATATCCTGTACATCTGTCGCAGTGTAATTGTAATGTCTGATTCTCATAGGGCCGTCAGTTCCGCAATACTCGGTACCATATTTCGCTATGAATTCGGGTGCACAGCTCAACGATTTTCTAAAGTATGGAAGCACTTCTTCGTAATTCCAACCGGGATTTCCTATATTTGCCCAAGTGTCGTAGTCCCTTTTGTTGCCAAAGATGTGCAACATGGCGTTGATGACCGAACTTCCACCTAGGGCTTTACCTTTCGACCATCTGCATCGTTTATCGACTTGGCTCAAGCAGGCTTCTTTTTGATATTCGGCCTTTACACAGAAATGATTAAAATTAGATAAAGAGAAAGGAATAGAATATGTTACGTTTCATTTTTTAAAATATTAATAATTAATGTTGTATTGATCCGTTTTAATTTTGGATCGTTGAAGTTGTAATAATAAATAATTATATAGGAAAATTCTTTATTCTTAATCATTTTATATTATACGAAGAAAAATTATACATTAATTATAGCATACGATGCGATATGAGAGTTAATGATGATACTAAATAAATACTGAATAAGCAGAAATGAGTAATTGCGAGAATTATTGCGAAAATAATTATGATATTTAACGATGATTCGTTTTGATGATGATATAAGAATATAAAGGTTAAGTTATAAATCATATGAAGAATAAAAGAAACAAAATATTTTTTCATTCCATAAAAAAATATAAATCTTCTAAACAAGTAATTTTTTACTATAGTAATATCTTTATAAAGTGTGATTTTCTCATATATACAAAATAAAGAAAATCTTAACGTCCATTTGTGATACGAAATATACATCAAATATACGTGATCTTTTTACATGCAATTTTTACATGCAATATTTTTTCTTACGTGATTATTACGATTCACACATTCATATACTTTTCGTATTTCGTATTTTTTATATAAAAATAATTATTGAAATAATTTTCTCTCTCTCTCTCTCTCTCCTATCTTAAATAATTAAAATTAATTAATTTATTTATTTATTACTTTTACCTTGTAAGCATAATCCTGTGACAAACCCAAGTTACTGGCAAGAAACCAGGTACTGTAGTTTCGGGTAAAGGATATCCTCCTCTTTCGATTAACAGAACCTTCCAATCCTTCACTTCCGTTAATCTGCGAGCCAAAACAGATCCCGCACTTCCACCACCAACGATCACAAAATCGAATTCCATTTTCGAACATAAAATCTCTTCTGTGCGATCTCTCGGATATGCATTGGAATTATTTAATCCATGATAGGACGCTTCCAACGTTTGTAGCAATAAAGTAAAGATGAAAGTTGGCGACGACTGCATCATCATCGGCGAACTTCTGGCCATACACGATTCCATGTTTCCGTGTTTTTTCCTTGATCTATTCTCCTAAAATTAATAGATTATTCTTTGTAACAATATATCTCTTTATGAAATACAAAAGTGTAAATTTTATATATTAATCGATGATATTTAAATGCTGGTTCTTATTTTTATTTTTTTCGTCTTTCGAATATTTTGTAAATTAAAATCCTACGGATCCTATTTTTAGCGATAAAAATATAATTCAATTCTTCTCGAATCATAATATCAGAAATTATTTATTATTTGGATTGATTGTTAAATTTTCAGACGATATGAGCTATTGTACATGTATTCATACACATATTAATTTTACAAAAATAATTATAAGCAATAGTAATGAGAATGTAAAAGTTATATCATTTAAAAAGAATTAGAAAATTACATTATTTGACAGATTTGAATATTATATTGTCAAATTTAATAATTATTTTTAAAAATTCCAAATATATATCTCTTCATATTTTCGTTCCAAATATGATTAAAGATATGATTATTAAGAATACTTTAAATAAAACTATATAATTTATATAATTTAAAGAAAACATTGTTAATATTTACCTATTCATCCGTGTTCTTCGTAACTTCTGCCTCTACTAACTTTTCTTCTCAGAAATTAAATACCAACTATTTCGTATTTTGTATAATCCCCCTCTTCTTTTGAAATTTTCCTTGAAAGATTAAATCTGCAAATAATAAATGTAAAATAGCAAGTTTTTCTTTGAAGATAGGATTTTTTTTTTTTTAAAGCAAGATAAGATTGAAGAAAATAAGACATGAATAAATATAATAATAAATTAATGTGTGATGCGAAATTATTAATATACAGAATGCGAGATTGAATTTTTATTTTTTTGTTAAATAAGTTTTTCCTTGAGAGAAAAATAAACGAGACATGAAAAAAAATGATGCGGATTTAAATAATACAATGAGATTTCAATTTATATTTTTAAATTTTCAAATCATAGAACGATATTTTTTTTTTTTTCGAGCAAGAATAATATTTTTGCTTGATTTATTATTTTACTATACCCATAACAAGCAACTGACTATTCTCGAATTGCTTATATCGAAACAATTTTTTCCATTTTCGTATATTTCGTATTTGCTTGAAATATGCACATTTTTTTCTTATTGCACGATCAAATCTTAAGAAAACATCAAAATATAAGATACAAAAAAGATCTATAGTCAATATTTTCTATTTTTAATTGACAATAAAAATTTCAAATAACGTTAAAACGATGAAAAGATTAAATGATAAAATTCTAAAATTTAAATGTCGAGAATTTTTGTTGAAAAGAATTATTTTTTATTTTTCATACTTTGCCGACATAGATTAGTTAGCGTATTTTAGGTTATCGGCAATGATTATATATTTTTATATTGGTAACGCGATTGTCTCTAAAAATTACAATTATGAACTGGAATTATTATTTAAAACGGAATAATGTGATCAATTCCATAATATAATAATAAGTATTCTCATTTGAAGAAAAAAGTTTTTTTTTTTTTTTTTTTTTTTTTTATTACAATAAAACATTTTACGGTTTTTAAGGCGCGTATCAGAAAAAAAGAAAAAAACTTGAAAGCAGATAAGAATAGTACGCTATCTCCTTTACAATTAAATATAATTTAATTTTCCCTCTGGTGAATTTTTACAAAAGAACGACACGTGACATAACGTTATCCCCACCATCATTAAACAAATTAGATAGAGGAATATTACATTGCGATGTTTAATCTTGGTTACGTGACCATTCTTTTGCATAATCTAGCAGAAGAAATAATAAACGACGTATTCTTCTTATAGATAAATTCGTCAGAGGAAAATTGAATTATTTTAAATAATAGAAAGGATAGTATACCATTGGGTCTGGCAACCCAATACTTCTCTCTTTGCCCTTTAATGATTGAACATTGAAAATATGTTGGAAAGAAAGTTTTATTTAATTGAAGTAATTATGCTAATTATAAATATTTAAGATAGATATATTTCTTTTTTACGTGGAAAATATATATATAAAAATCATTTTCTTTTTTTGTTTCGGTTTGTTTAATATATAGAATATATAGAATAAAAAAAGATATAACATATTCTTGAAAGAAATTTAAAAGCAATTCGATGTAAGAATTTGCCATAAAATAAGGTTGGCATAATTTTTATTATTTTGAACTATATTGGAAAGGTTTCAAGATAAGCATAAAACATAAAACGAAACTTTGATATTTATTCAATTATTTCTATATTATTCAAAATAACAATCTTTATTGCTTATATATTTTCGTCAAGTTTTTTTCCAGGTTTGAATTCATTTTGAAAAAACTTAATTTCGGTGATCTATCATCCCCATAAATTCAAATCAAATCTTAAAATGATTGTTCTCAATCATAGAGAAAAATTGATCGAAATAAGTACAATCCTCAGTGATTTGAATTTTTCGATTAAAAACAATATGCTATGAACAATATTATGGAATATTTATCGTAAGCCAAGCGAATTGCACGAAAGTAATACATTGCTTGCATATAATAATTTCTAAATTTCTAAACTAAGACTTCTAAACTAACTTCTCTATATTTTTATGCCCCAATCCTGTTTAACCATATCCGCTCCCTTCTCAGCGATCATCATAGTCGGCGCGTTCGTATTCCCGCTCGTCACTTCCGGCATGATCGACGCATCGATCACTCGTAAATTTTTGACACCGTGCACTTTCAATCTCGAATCCACAACGGCTCTGGAATCGTTAGCCGGTCCCATCATCGCCGTTCCACACGGGTGATACAACGTGGTAGACAAGTGTTTAAGGCTACATTCCCAATATTCATCGGTATCCGGCTTCGTGTCTCGACATCCGGGAATGTCAAAATAATACAATTTCATATTGTACTTCTTCAGAGTCTCGGTGTTTAAGAGAGCCTTGGCAATATCCACGGATTTCAACAACATTTCGAAATCCTCCTTCTCGACGAAATAATTCGCATAGATCTTAACAGGATCGGCCGGATCGGTGTTACGCAACTTGAGAAAACCTCGGCTCAAAGGTCTTATCAATATAGGAATAATAAAGATCAAGTTCGTTTCGTTCATAATCTTTGCAATTTCTGATACAACGTCTTTGTCTACATTGAATGATTGAAATACAACTAATAAATCGTTCATGTAGCGTTGAAACGGTAAAATTGTAAATTGAACATTCGGATATTTCGAATGAGAATCGTTCACGTTCACGAAACCGGTCAGATCGATCGGAAGAACGCGTAATGGGCCAGCATTGTATTCCAAATATTCGTAAATAGCGTTTATCTGATTCTTAGGAGGAGATGTCACCGAATCATTCGTATAGGAATAGGTTAATCCTAACCATATCACGTGATCTTGAAGATTCTTTCCAACGGGCAGATCGATCAGAAGGGGTATTCCCAATTCCTCCAAGTGCTCCTTGGGCCCGATCCCCGAGAGCATCAATACCTGTGGACTGGCGATACTTCCCGCCGACAGGATCACTTCCTTCGTCGCTCTCACTTCCATCGACTCGTTGCTCAAACTGACTCGAACGCCGACAGCTCGTTCGCCCTCGAACAGAATCTTGTCCACCCTGCTCGATGTCATTACGTACAGATTCTCTCTGTCTTTGACCGGGGAGAGGAATGCTTTTGCACAATTTTGCCGTTGCCCATTGTCGAGGGTGCCCATCGCTCTTCCAAATCCGATGAAACGATCACCGTTCAATGGCTCGAGAATGTCGTATCCCGCCTCGTGCGCGGCTCTCAAGATTATATCCTGTACATCTGTCGCAGTGTAATTGTAATGTCTGATTCTCATAGGGCCGTCAGTTCCGCAATACTCGGTACCATATTTCGCTATGAATTCGGGTGCACAGCTCAACGATTTTCTAAAGTATGGAAGCACTTCTTCGTAATTCCAACCGGGGTTTCCTATATTTGCCCAAGTGTCGTAGTCCCTTTTGTTGCCAAAGATGTGCAACATGGCGTTGATGACCGAACTTCCACCTAGGGCTTTACCTTTCGACCATCTGCATCGTTTATCGACTTGGCTCAAGCAGGCTTCTTTTTGATATTCGATCTTTACACAGAAATGATTAAAATTAGATAAAGAAAAAATAAAGGAACGGGAATGTTACGTTTGCGTTTTGAGAAATTAATGATTAATATTATATACTTGTTCATTTCGATTTTGTCGATTTTATCGATGCCTGTATTATAATAAGCTTGTAAAATAATTTTTTGATATACGTGGATGGATTATATCTTCGTAAAGAGTGGCAATCCTTGTATTGAAAAGGAATATTGCTACGCGCTAAAAAAAATTTCAACATCTACTTGCGATTATTTAAAATGATCAGGTGACTTACTTTGTACAAATATATTGTAATTTATATACTTCTCTCAAATTATTGAAATTAATTATTGAAATAAAATTCGTATCGTATATTTTTTTCAGAAGCAAAAAAATATACATACGATTCTCTCTCTCTCTCTCT